AAGAAGACAATACATGTAACAAACATAACTTGACATGGGTTCCCAATATGTCAACATCCAACGCACCCAAAGTACCTCTAACATCGTATCTGGACGTGGGAGGTCCATGACCAAACATCAATATGTGACAAGGTCAGAATGAGAATGTGTTGGACATGAACAGCGGTCCCCCAGGTGAAAGTCCAGAGTTTGTTTGACCCATATATCTCCCTCCCTCCCACACACCCTCCCTATACAGACTTTCTTGCTCTCTTTACTACAACAGTTGCTCGCAGCTTTAGAAAAAATGCAGCTCCATCTCATACTGTCACTAAAGGGTGCCTCAGTGCGTCAGTATCTGACCCCATGGCACTGACAGATTGTCAGTCTTTGACGCATTAGGAGTGAGCCCTGATTGTATCTTGTTTTTGATAATTTGGGTGTTTTAAGGATTTTTTTTACATTCTACAAATACACACAAAATTCAAATGATGGGGTTTTAAAATTTTGAATATTTGAACAGAAAATCCTGTAGTCCGCTCTTGCTCAGCGTCACAATTTATTAGTAACACTAATGTTCACTCTTGACAAAGGTCCAGTAGGACTTAAATGTTGGTGTTACTAATAAATTGTGAAGCTGAACAAGAGCAATGTGCGGGATATTCTGTTCAGAGACTCAGGTGATATTTTCAAACGCACCTGCGTCTGAGACAGTTGGATGTGCAAATATCTCTCTTCAATCAAATTTTGAATATTTAAAATGAAAAGAGTTTCTCTGTGTATCTTCTAGCAGTATGCCTATGTAGCTGAATCAGGTGCTTCTCGGATAGGGACTAAACCCCATTTGGAAGTTTAAAGTTGACTTGGAATTCACTCATGGCCCCAGTATTTTAAAAATGTCTACGGCCCTGGTTTCTAAGTAGTCCTTTTGATTAAAGGAGCTTTCAGATACCTCCTCTATGAACAAAAACGAAGGGCTTACTCAAAACAGTAAGATTTAAATTACAATCTCAGTGGACACTTACAGTAGCCTACAGGACCACAATGTCTGTGGCATTGTCTCATGAATGGTGTGGGTCTATCATTTATCTTCTGTAGTACTCATTATTACCCCTTGTTTTGTGTTTTTCCTCGTACACTAGGCCTCTTCCTCCAAAAGTCCCCTTTAAGATTAGAGCTTTTAATTATGTGGTTGTGTATTGTGGCTCCTAGCCAATGAAATAAAGCCTTCAGGCAAAGAAAGACATCTCGGCTAGGGCTGCATTATCTCCAGCGCTGTTCGCCTTATCTCTGGATGTCCGAGTCTCTTTACATATATGGATAAACCCGTTACCCCGCCGCCTGACAATACAGTCCCAAAATAATCTGAGAGCACAGCTGAGCCCTGCTCGGCGCTGCACGCTGCTGCTGCTCCGCTGCCGCCTCCGACACCGCGCTGTGAGAGGAAACACCGCCGTGAAATCTCTCATCAGTAATGACGAAATTCAGCTATTCTGAATACTTATCTCAGTTCCGTAACGCTGGAGGTAAATGTAATAATGTTCAGACGCGACTGTGGGGAGATAGGAGGAGAGGAGACGGTCAGGGCGACGTAACGTCAGAGCCGGAGTGAGTCTTTTGTTGTTGGGTGCTGTTTGACATGGGGCTGCATGTCTATGTCAGTGTGTGTGTGTGTGTGTGTGTGTGTGTGTGTGTGTGTGTGTGTGTGTGTAGGGGCTCCTGAGGTCTGCTGTATAACCATTGAAGAGTAATAATAAGAAATGTTTAATCTTGATTAATTTAATGACATAGCCTACCAAACCAGTTAGAGGTGCTTATTTAAGTAAAATAAAGCCAAAAATTAAGATATTTGCCTAAATATAAAAATGTAAGATTCACAGTTCAATCAGAATTGCAGCCCTCAAACAGTGCTGATGTCTATCTATCTTGCATTTATGTGTCAGTCACGTAAAGTGTGTTTTTCCCTCCTTTTTAAGGGATGTTGAGCTGGTGGTCTTTGCCATCAGGAGAGGGGATGTGGAGGCAGTTAATGATGTGGCAACATCCGCTCCTCTCAGTCTGCTGAAAGAGAACAAAGATGGGTGGATACCTCTGCATGATGCTGCCTTCTGTGGACAGACAGAGTGCCTGAAGATCCTTCTAAGGGGTATGACATGAAAGCTTAATTGAGGGTCCCAAACAGTGCATTTGTCCAGTGAAACAGGCTCAGTGTAACAGTATACGTCGGTCTGTTTGTACAATCTCAAAAAGCTAAATAAGCCTTATATATATATTTTCTGCTTCAGCCCATCCAGGTTCAGTAGATAAACGTACCTTGCAGGAGCAGACGGCCTTGCTGCTGGCTGTGTCTTGTGAACACTTGTCATGTGTGCGTCGCCTTCTGGAGACAGGCGCCGACCCTGACATCAGCAGCAAGAACAAAGAAACCCCTTTGTACAAAGGTACAGCCGTGAAATCAATTGTATACAACAGAGCTATTTAGAACGTATAGATAACCGTGTAACAGCCACATGACCCAGTGTCTCCTCTGTGTCTGTAGCCTGTGAGTTGGAGAATGTGGACATGGTGAGCCTCTTACTGTCCTACGGGGCCACCGCGAACCAGCGGTGTGGTCAGGGTTGGACGGCCCTCCACGAGGCTGTGTCCAGGAACAACACGGAAATCTGTGAGATGCTAATAAGAGCCGGAGCCGCAATCAATCCACCTAACACCTACAGCATCACGCCACTCATTGTAGCAGCTCAGCAAGGACAGATGAGGGCACTGTGCTACCTCATTGAAAAAGGTACTTTTCTGTACAAAATATTCCCCCTCCTTTTTTATGTTGCTGAATTTAAAGGTTATTAAAGGACATTGGTTTTCTGTAGGTGCAGATGTGAACATGCAGACATGTGATGGTGTCACAGCGCTGCATGAGGCCAGTAAAAATGGCCACAAGGAGAGCGTTGCAGTGCTGTTGACTAAAAACGCAGATGCCAACAAACCCACTAACTCAGGACTGCTGCCACTGCACACTGCTTCTCAATATGGACACCATGAGTAAGTTCTATAACTCAATTAGGTTTTGTATAAAAGAAAACATTCATAAAGATGTGGCATTTGCATTCAGATATAAAATGTTTGCTTATGATGCACAATAGAGTGGTTATTATGAATTGAACTGTCATAAGAGTTAATTAGTGTGTGTTGTCTTTACATATTTTGTGTCCACACTCTGTGTACAGGATTGTGTCCCTCCTCGTCTCAGTCACAAGTCGAGCCCTGCTCCGCCACAGTTGTGTCAGCCCCCTCCACCTGGCAGCAGAGCACAACAGACACACTGTGGCAGCTGTGCTACTCAAGACAGGTGCGAATGTAAACGCCACACTGGCCAACAGCCACTCCATCCAGTATGCTGATCGGCGCGCGACAGCCCTCTACTTTGCAATTGCCAATGGCAGCAAAGAGACAGCAGAGGTGTTACTGAACGCTGGCGCGAGTCTAAACCTGGACCCAGTCAGTCCTCTGCTGATGGCTGTGCGGCAGGGCTGCATCAGCACTGTGTCATTACTGCTGGAGAGAGGGGCTGACGTCAACGCCAGAATACCCTCTTATCCTACTACGTTCCCTGCTGCCGTTGCACTCTGCATGAATAATTTGGCTCTGCTCAAGTGCCTTTTGGACAATGGCTGTGATGCCCTCTCTTGTTTTACCTGTACATACGGCTGTGCCCCTCACCCAATGTCAGGAGGATCCCACATTAGAACTGTTGGCAGCAATGGATATGTTTTGCAGAATGACAGTATGCTTCCTTTAAACTGCAGTGAGATGCCAGAGAGAGCTACACAGGTGTGAAAAACAAGCAAAAACATCAGCATGGCTTTCCCAGAAACTGAAATTTGTATGTTTTTTTCTAAGTATTTTGCTTTCTTTTTGCAGTTCTGTGAGTGGATCTCAACGTCAGTCATGTGTAAATGGGCAGGACCGGTCATAGACTTGCTGCTGGAGCATGTTGGTCACGTTCAGCTGTGCAGCAAGCTCACTGAACTGCTGGACAGCCGAGAAGAGTGGCTCGCCGTGAAGAGGAAGTCATGTAAGCATCTGACAAAATCTTGTCATCCTAACATGCAAACATGTCTCTTTCTGTCTCTCACTTCCTCACACGTGCGTACAATGCAAATGTAGCTATCAACAACCCTCTTTTCTGTTTCTCTTGTCCACAGTGTCACCTCGTCCACTGCTGCACCTTTGCAGATTCAGGATTCGAGCCCAAATGGGGGGAAACAGACTCTCACAGAAATCTCTCACAAGTCTACCTCTGCCGGACAGACTGATCCGATACCTGAGCCACGCTGACTGACTTTAAAATGAACTTCAAGTAATATAAGCATCAGAGATGTGACTAAATTTATCATAATGTGTTTCTTTTTTAGCTGCATCTGTAAATGCAATTCTCTATGTATAAAATTTCTATTTATAACATGTGTAACGTGACAGGAAGTCTCTTTAATGTGTCAGTCAGAGTTTCTCTGTAGTCTCGCAGGAACGCTCAATGAAAGCAAAAACGATCTAATGCCCGGAGGAGCTCTTGAGGAAAGTTGAATCATTTATTTAAAAATTAAAGTCATCGTTTTCAAACGTGCCTATCAAACATTACTTTGACAAAGAAAAGGCAATCTATGTCCCACATTCTATTCTCATAGCTGAAAGAGCAAACTAAAACAGGATGTTCTCATTCATTGGCATGACTTTTGGTACTGACAAAAGGAGCAGTCACTCTCTGTAGAAACCTAAAAGTAGAAACCTTTTAACTTACTGTCAGTTTTTCAGATGCTTGAAAGGCATCACAGTGGCATGAAAGTGAACATGATGAAGTTGGTCTGCAAGTGCAACTTAGTCCTCTAGATTTAAACAATAAAAATAGATGAAGCATTCCAATAAGTGCTTGATGAGGTGTCTCATATACAAATGTGGAGAGATAAAGAGTTGGCTGCGCAGAACACAAAATAATTAGTCATATTTACACCCTTTTGTGTGTGTGACTGGCTCATTAGTAGAGTAGTTAAATGAATCCAAACACACTGAAGATCGGTGACTGCACGGTGGGTTTGGTCGGTATAGGTTTGACCACAACGTGCGTGTGAAGTTTCTGTCCATAAGGATGCTCAGGCCTCTCTGTCTCTGCCGCTTTGCTCCACAGTCCCAGGGGCGGATGGGGGACAACAATGTGACTGTGGAGGACCTGGTGTCCGTGGTACTGGAAGGGACAGCAGCCGCACACGCTCACACAGTGGTGAGAGGTCAGGTCCAATTTCAGCGTGTCCTTATCGGCAGAGCTGCGCCGACTGGACGCAGAGAGAGTGGCCTTTGCGTCATCATCATAACTCCTTTTCCTCTTTTCGTTCTCACTGCCCTCAGATGTGCCTGCTGGGCTCTTTTTCAATAAATGTGAGTGTTCCCTCTTAGTCTGGGTCAACTTAGGTTCCTCCCAAAATGAGGCTGGCAGCTGGCGTTTCCTCATGGGCACCTGCTCCACGGCGCTCCCCGCAACCTCCGCACACTGAGCATCCGAACTGGACTTCTCTGCGACCTTCACACTCTGGTGAGAAGCGCCCACCGGTTTGGCGCACCCATACTCAGCAGACCTGTGCGTGTGGCATCTTGGGACTCTGGCGTACTTCTGAGAGAAACGCTTCAGCTGTTTCTGCAGATATTTCCTGTGGTCCACAGAGCGTCTGCACGGAGCTGACTTGTCCAAGGCCGCTTTGATATCGCTGGATGCCAAATTCACAAAATTGAGCAGTGTCTTGACCTCACTGTCTGCCATTTTTGTAAAGTTTTTGATCAGATCAGTCCATGTTAGAGCTTGTAGTCCACCGCCAAGATCTAAAGGGACATCAATAAACAAATGTAAGCTTTGCGTAATTGCGCGCTATTCTCTGGTATCCACAAATGGATGTGGTGCTTCTCAGTTAAAATATTTTTAAAGAGTAATAACCCTTCACTCACCACTGCTGGATGAATCCAGACTCTCTGAAGCCACAGTCCAAGCACAGATTTCTCTCCAGGCTGCAGTAAGAGCACTTCAACAAGTTGAATGAATATAAACTCCTTGTAGTTATGGTGCTTTCCATGAACCAATCAGCGACCCCAGGCCCCTCACAATGCACCCCAATCAGCCTCCAAGCGCCCTGGTATCGAATTCTTCACCATTGCAAATTGTTGTCATGGAGACCTGGAAAAAGCCGCTGAGGGGATGCGATATTTCTCCTACACGGTGATTTCCGCGCGTTGGCCAAACATCTCCTAAAATCCGGAGTGTGCATGAATAAGAACGAGTGCTAGCTCTGCTGAAATATGCATGCATTATAACTTTATTCTGGAGCTGTTAAAGTTGAGTCTTTAACATAGATACCGCTCATACCCTCCCCAAGAGTGATGTCAGCTGTAGGATTTGGTGAGAGGGGGGAGATCTAAAGAGTGCATAACCATGGAAAGGGGCTTGAACGCTCAAGAATCTTGTCTTTCTGTTTGCCCCCTCAATCGAGCGACACAAAGGCTGAATTACTCATTCAAACCTCGCGGGACAAAGGAAAAGGAGCTGGATAGCACTCCTGCATTTGTAGTCAAACATTTAGAGACTTAAATCGAGTCGTCATGAAGGAGAAAGAGTCGGACAAAGCCCATAGAATTGCCATCAGCAAACATTTTCCTGTGTCATATTATGGGGTCTCCATGGCTCCCTCTGGCCCGCGGACAATAGCACAAGTTTGCACACTCGAATACTGTCACCCTGCCAACGGCAACAAGGGCCCAAAACAGGACAATCCCCAGAGAAAGCATGGGCTCCGCGGGGAAGGTTGCAATGGAGGAGGAAAAGGGGACTTGTGAAATGCTAATTGAGCTTCATCCCCTTATTGAGGTGGGGAAAAAAGAGTACCTATCGTCCCATTGAACCGCAGCAGCAGTGGAATGAGATGTGAGGAAACTGTTTGTCTGGTAAGTAACACCTCATGCTTTTGCACTACCCTTAAAGCATTTACCCTGAACCACTCCAGCACTGGTGCAGATCATTTTTAAAACATTCTGCAGAGTATACTGAGGCTACACACCATTTATTTCTGAGTGAGCTGCAGCCCACATGATTGATTGCCTCATTCACTCAGTTTGGGGTTATCTGAGGAGAGCTCTGCTGCAGGTCTATATGTGCTCTCCATCTTTTTAGGCGGTGCATCCCTCTTGTTCTGGAGAGGCATTGTCCTCCTCCTCTCTTCTTCCCTTCACCTCTCTGTTCATCTAAAAAGGGCAAATTAACAATGAGGCCCCCCTCCCCTGGCCTGTCACCCCACTCCTGTGCTTTTGAAGTGAGGGAGAAAGAGAGAGAGAGGAAGCATGGTGGCATCCATAAATCCCACAATGTGACGCTGTCCTTGTGCCAGGACAGGTGGATGGATGTTTGTCCAGCAGTTCAGATATTTGCTGATTTATGGAGCTTGTGAAAAACGCTCACTAATTTCTATATTTACCTATACTCTGTAAGAGGGTCATTAGAGTCTGTCTGCACACAACATCAATCCACCTAACACAGACAAACCAACATGCAAGTTAACGTGCCACTTTAACTGCTGCATGTGTGCACCAGAGATATGCACACAACTTGCATATCTCTGGTGCACTCATGCAAACTGCACTCATGCAGCCAGGGAGTGTTTGGAGTCTACAGTGATGCATAGAGATATAACACACTACTGAACCAACAATCCTCACCATGTTCACATTCTGATACAAAAATCTATCTAGTAAAAGCCCAGTGGAGCTCTAATATGACCGAAATCTGACTCTGTTTGTACTAGGTCCTTGGCAGAAGCTGTCCAAGACACATCTGTTGGTGCCACTTTCAAAGTAAGCACTTTCTTTCTGTCGCCTGTATCGTGTCTTTGCTCAATACTATCTACAGTAAGATAAAAATGTATTGATCCCCATGGGAGAGCAAAGTCTTGCAGCAGCACAAAAATGAGAGCATATAAGGATACAAGACAGAAAAAAGTAGAGCAAAGGATATAAGCAATAAAAAGGTGAACGGAGCCATAAATCAAAATGAAATGAAAGCTTTCTACAGTATTAGGGTTTACAGATTGATAGAGATAATATCTCTCTATAGGTAAATGTAAAATGGGAATAATGTGTGTCTCTGTGCCGAACACAACACACATCTGCACATTAGAGGAAATGGAGACTTTAGTTGGAGGTATTTCTTTTGTTTCTTCATCACAGCTCACATTAAAGACAAACAACATACTTACCTGTAGTGTTGGAGGTTCAAATAGAAGGAGAATATTAATTCTACTGGTTAGCTGCAACAAAGCAACAACTAAAAACCGGTAGAAAAATGATCCATGTAGATAAAACATTATGCTATGGGCATAGTGAAGGATGAATTCTGTTTGACTGGAATACCGACATTTTTCCCGTGGAATACGAGGAGACTTTTATCCAAAAGAAAAGGGAGAAATTTATCAGATTCATGGCAAACAACAAGAATGTTATCAAACCTTGATCTGGATCAGTCTAAGGAAAATGTGGACACAGACAACAACACATTAGACCAATATGTTACCTATTTAATTTCAGTGCCTTGTTGAAGATTCTTTTTGTAAACTGTTTAAATTTTTATGAATAAAAAGTGACAAAAAAGCTGGTATATACAGATAAAACATGAGTACAGAATGGCTCAGTTAATATGAAAAAAAATATATAAATTAGGTGCAAAAACTCAGACAAAAGCATCTGAGTTATTTTGTCATTTAAATTTATATTGTTTTAAATAATTTTAAAAAAGTGACAAAATCTTGTATACAGATACAAAATGAGTACAGAAGAGCTTCCAGTAAATCTAAAAAAAAAAAAAAATAAATAAGTGCAAAAAAATATCCAAATTCAGACAAAGCTGGCTAAGCTATTTTGTAATTTATATTTATATTATTGTAAGTAAATAAAAAAGTGACAAAAGCTTGTATATACAAATACAAAATGAAAACAGTGAAGGTTCCAGTAAATAAATCTATAGAATAAATGCAATAAGATCTAAGATCCAAATTCAGACAAAACTGCACTTTCAGCCTTTTTCACTACCTAATTTGTCCCCTTGCTCCAATGATCTGTTAATATAGTTACAGAGCACCTTAATGTCATGTGTTGCCAACACCTCCCACTAGATGGCAATCTACCTCTACTCTGACACAGCCAAGCTGGGTTGTTATAATAAAGGGGAAACACACAGATAGTAAAGATAAATGCAGGGGAGTTAATTATCTTTGGACATTAATATCCTTTAAATGACACAGGGTATTACAACCTCCTTTTGTTTGACGCATATTATTCCTGGGCTCTGTTTGTTTGCAGAGAAGCTGATTAAGTATCTCAGCAAGAATAATAACACTGAAAGACCACAGTAATTTTATTAAGAGGTTTTCTTATCTGAGTTTAAAAGGACTGTGATGTATGTTGTGGCAGATTGCTGCTAGTTGGAAGGAGGTGAGGCAGCAGGAAGGAACCAGGAGGATGTAGTGCTTTCCTCTTGTCAGATAATCGATACTGAGACAGAATGTAGGAGAGGATGGACGAGCTAAACCATCTGGCGCACTATACGCCAAATCCAGGCTTGTTGTGTACTTCAAAAACTCTGACAAATCTCTGCATTGTGTGCGCAGATGCTGTTCAGCAGCAGATGTGGATTTTCCACTCTAAAAGTCATCCACAGCTCTTGTGCATTAGCTCGCCCCATTACTGTCTGTGAAGAGCTTTTTGATAGGCAAGAGATGTGATAAATGCTCAGCCGCACCAAAAGGCTGTAGGGCTCGATGCTGAATCCATTGATCTTAATCCAAAGTTGTTTGAATAGTTGGCTTAGATGCTGTTTGTGTTATTTGGAATAAGCCGGCTGTGACACAATTGGCTGTCACTTCTGTTATTTAAACCACAAGCAATACTCTCAAACAGAAGTCCTTTGGGCACAACAAATGATTGTGGATTTATGAAACATGAATAAGCAATGAAAATGACATACAAGCCGGGTAGTGTGTTGGTGAACTGAGATGCAGAGAACCTGACCTGCAAAGAAGACATATCAGCTTCAAGCAGTGCCCTTGGTGAAGTGCCTTTGAGTAAGGCAATGGATTTCAAACAGTTTTTTAACAGTGGTGCTGGGCAGGAGCGTAGGTTTCATGAACCAGGGAGTTTGGGGGTCCTCCACTAGAAAATTATGAGCATCAAACACTGAATTTCCTACATTCTGGTGACTGTTTATGCACCAATCTGCACCTTTTCTGCATCAATGTATGGCATTAATGTCTTTAATTTTGTCTAAATAAAAGTCCTCTGCTATTTTTGTGTTTTTATTAGGGGAGGACAAATGCATGTGATCCATATATTGAGGGGGACGCGTCCCCTTGGCCTTCACAATATAGGATAAAGAAGGGCAAAGTATTTGAACTGTGTTAGGGCTGCAACCTTGGATGGATCACTGAAAGAGTACAGGCCCAGGGGCCCAAAGTCTCAGGGCCCCCCTGGTCTTCACCTGCAAAATGTCAGTCAAATAAATGTGTACTGACGAAAAGAGACACAAAAAGACCACAAAGATATGTAAAGGAACTGCAGAGAGACAAATAATGGGCAACAAACATGGGCAAAACAGTCACAATGAGACACAAAATGACCACAAGGAGACACAAAACAACCACAAGGAGACACAAAACAACCACAAGGAGACACAAAATGACCACAATGAGACAAAACAACCACACAGAGACACAAAACAACCACACAGAGACACGAAACAACCACACAAAGACACAAAACAACCGCACAAAGACACAAAACGACCACAAAGAGACACAAAATGACCTAAAAGAGACCCGAAATGACTACAAAGACACAAAACAATGACAAGGAGAAACAAAATGACTTCAAAGCAACAAAAAAACACACATAGTAACCTCAAAGGAGACACAAAATGACTTCAATAATACACAAAATCACCTCAAAGAGACTTAAATGACTACAAAACAACACAAATCAAAGAGAAAGACCATTAAGAGACACAAAATGACCACAAAGCAATACAAAACAACCCAAAAAGACACAGAATTATCTCAAAGAGACCTAAAATGACTACAAAAAGACACAAAATTACCTCAAAGACACTCAAATGACTACAAAACGACACAAAACAAAAACAAGTAGACTCAACATGACCACAAAGAGACACAAAATTACTACATAGCAACACAAAATGACCAAAAAAGACAAAATTACCTAAAAGAGAATCAAAACAACCACAAACAGACACAAAACAATGACAAGGAGAAACAAAATAGCTGCAAAGCAACACAAAAACACACATGGTTACCTCAAAAGAGACACAAAATTACTTCAAAGACACTCAGATGACTACAAAATGACACAAAACAACAAGTAGACACAACATGATCACAAAGAGACACAAAATGACTACATAGCAACACAAAACAACCAAAGAAGACACAAAATTACCTCAAAGAGACACAAAATTACTACAAAAAGACACAAAACAACCATGAGGAGAAACAAAATGACTACAAAGCAGTGCAAAAACACACATGATTCCCCTGAAAGAAATACAAAATGACCTGAGTAAAACCCAAAATGACCTCAAACGCACTCAAATGACTACATAAAGACACAAAACTACCACAAGTAGACAAAAAATGACCTGCACTTTACCTTACATCTTAAAGTAACATCTCCAGATATCTTGGTTTGTCAAAGAGACAGCCCAACACCCACAGATAATCAGTTTACGCTGATATACAAGCAGGAAGTGGGTGTAGTTTCCAGCTTTTTCTTGCAGAATGACAACAGTAAACAATAATAACCAATTAATTTTCTGCAATCAATTAACTGCTCTTGGATTGTGATCAGTAAAATAAGCCAGTGCCAGTACTAGGAGTGGGTAGTACAAGGACTTTATAAATGTGATGTAGAATAATGATGTGGTGTGAAAGAATAAATTCACACACAGATCCAAACACTATTGTTTTAATGGCACTAAGATGAGCACTGTGGTTTTATCCCTGCTGTCAGTTATCTGTTATTCCAGTAAACTGTGAATGTCACGTTGGCTCTCTAGTACCATGTACATGGCTGTGGGCTGTGGGGTAATTTCATAACTGTGCCTTGTGAAGAAGACCACCAACAATCTTATGCAACTCTGCTCTTTAAAAAAAAAAAAAAAACCCTGCCCATTTTAGTCTGAGTCTTTGCACTCTGGCCCAAAGCATCACCTCTTATCATCAATATGGGTGGCAAATGAATAAAATAAAAAAAACAGCTGAGTGTTTAAAAATAAATAGCCAATAAATATCTTATAAATGTCTGTGCAGCTGAGCATTAGCAGTAAATGCCAGGTTACATCAGTATTGTTTATCTGAGCCTACTTTGGGACATTGGAGTGTTCTAGCAGGCACACAGCACATCAAACATGGGTACGGCAGTGTTTTCAGTCGGTAGGCGTCTTGCACTCTCCCTCTCTCTCTCTCTCTCCACTTGACTTTAATTCGGTCTAGTACGCGTCATCCTTACGGACTCGCCTCCACGCATTGTGGGCTATACTTTCAGCCTGGACCACTATAAAAAAAATCAAACACAAACATAAACAAAAACAAACAGAACCCAGCTGATATTACCGCCGCCTACATAACCTCCTTCTTCCCCTCTCACTGTATGTGTGTGTGTGTGTGTGTGTGTGTGTGTGTGTTTAGGAGGTGGGGGGGACTTTTGGAGAAGCGGAGGGTGAATTTGTTTGAGCACACGCTGTCAGGAGGAGCTGATGTGAGCGCTGCATCAAGTGCGCGGCGGTGATGCTCCCGTATAAAACAGCCCGCTGTATTTTGGCACAGAGGGGGATGCATCAGTTTAACCCTCGGCTCTGCCCTCCGGACTCGCCCATACAGTATTCAGCCTAGATAAGTTGAGGGCATGTGTGGTTTTATTGTGAGGAATCCTGCCGCACGATATTCCTGAGGATCTCTCTCTTGTTCGGTTTTTTTTCTTCTCCTCTCTTCAACTTCGATGGCTTGAGTGGCCCATTTGCACTCATGCTTGCAGCCGAGGAGGGATGTAAGGTACGGGCCATCTACCGCCCTCACATTGCACGGAGTAGCGGCGTGATTCAGGTCGCTATCTGAGTGCCAATAAGCAAAGAAACTACTTTCGAGATGTGAATTATCGAGATTTGGTACTCATTCCACCGGCTCGCCTGTCCTATGCTACCGACAACGGGATTTCAAGAGGAAAATGATTGTGGCATAAACTATTTCTGGAGACGCTTGTCACAGATATCGCCGCTGAACTGGACAGGGTGGATGGTTATTTCCCAAACAGTTCAAGCCTATGTATACTGCATTCATTTGTTGGAATCGCTGCCTAGTATCTTCGAGAACAGCGCAAGAGGAATGCTGGTTCAAGATCTAATGCCATTTACTTTAAGTTTTTGGCCTTTTTTCTTCGGTCATTGCCTTCTTTCACTGTTTTTACTCTCATGCCAGGTAAGGATCATGCTCAGGCGCGCCGCTTGTCATTTTACGCATGAGAAGATGTTGCACTAATGTACCTGGAATTTGATTTACTGGATGGATAAGGAGTGTTTTTAAGTAACTTATTATGCTGCAATCAATGTGCAATGAATTGTGTGTTTACACCAGATGTTGGGATCACCAGTGCACCTCTGTTTAGGAAATACTGACAGGCATGCATGTGTAGAGTTTCCAGTAAGGCATGAGAAACACACACACACACACACACACACACACACACACACAGACACTCAGCTCTCTTGTAGTGGGAACATGGAGTAGCCAACTGTGTTTTTATGATAACAATATTCAGTTATCCCACCAGGATCCCTGCAGCAGGCATATGTTAGTGATGAGTATTCTAACCTCTGCCCCGTGCTGCTGCCTACAGATAGTGGTGAGCTGTTGTTCACACGCACGCAGTGTTGCCAGGGTTCATGTGTAATGTGATCTGCTTGAGTTTCCAAGTCCACCCACGCACACTCCTCGGGGCAGCCTGCTGCCCACTCTGTTGGTGGGTGGTTTCTTACAGGGAGCGGGCTGCAGCCATAGACGTGATACTATTCTGCATGTACTACATACACAGCAGCCCCGGTGACAACAACACTGTGAGCCGTGATACAAAAAAGAATGCTGAGAGGATATCCACAGTGCTGCTAACTAAGAGGCTGCTGAGTGTTCAAGCATCTCCATTTGTGCTGCACGGTGTTGTGCTAAAGGCACTCATGAGTAATGCACTGAAGGACAGTGGCTCAGTCATTTCAATGTCTCTCTCTTTCTCTCTCCCTCACCATAAGGGAGAACTCCAGAGGTCATGCTCACGGACTGTGGCGGAGAAAGTTAGTGAACAGTGCCAGCTGGCATGCCACTGTAGAAGATACCCTCCCCTTCCCCCTCCGCCGCCTCCACCGCCTCCCCCACGGCTACTGGGCACCACAGGTAAGGCTCCCAGCTCAGGCTCCCAGGTTTCACACCTGCCTCGCTCCAAGTCTGTCTCACTCTCAGTCTGCTCTCGCCCCACAGTTGGATCTCTCATTCCTAGCCAAACGCAGGTGTCGAGCAACTGGCTAGTCTCAAGGAACTGTTTTGACGTGCAGTGTTTCCTTTTATGCTCAAAAGAAAAATCTACCATCAGCCCCCTGAGATTACTGTGTGAGCGCCCGTGCATGGGCACTGTTTTGCACATGTGCGTCTGTGCGTGTGATAGAGCCAGCAGGATGTTGACAGCTGAACACAGGACTAATTTATGCTGGGTCTGACCTTGGGGAGTACCCAGCTGCCTGTGAAATCCATGCCTGCTGGGCTGCCAAGCTCAGTGGTTCAGTAGTAGGGTTTCCCCCGGAGGACCCCTGATTAAAACACAGATGAGTTAATTAAATTAGCTTTAATTTGATAGAGATAAGGGGCTAATGAACCAGCCCAGTACTTTTAGCTTCGTTTTGAAGTTGAGCTGGCGGCAATGAGGGTGTGTGTGTTTTGTGTGTCGGTGCTTGTACACAACAAGCGAGTATATCTGTTGGGATCCACTGCCTGTTGCAGCAGTTCTCCCTCCGACACTCCCTCTGAGATGGTAAATCCATTGACAGATAGGCGAACATATTTCACCAGCCTGCTCGCGGAGAGTTGATATGATTTGTATGAAGTCCCGAGCACCTTAATGAACAGTGCACTGAAATATGGGACAAGCGATGCTGATGATGCAGCCATTCTGAGCTATTACTGTGACTCTTTAGAATCACTCACCCTGAGCCCTTAATATTATGAGTAGGGAGGCGCACTTAATCATCAAAGTCTCAACAGGCAGCAGTGTAAAGGTTTTAATCAATCAGTTCCAATGATTTCTTTCCATCTGATCAATTTAAAAGGACCTCTTTCCCTCCTGACTCACCATGTGAGCTACCTCTCAAGACTTATAGACCCTTCTGTAAATGTTGGTCACTGCATTAATGCTGTCAGGACCATCTGACTGTACGCTAAGGTGGTGGTGGTGGTGGGGGGGGGTTGAACGCCCAATTACAGCCAACGCATGAGTGGAACTCTGAACGCTGCATCTATAAACAGCAGTGTGTCATGATAAATATGATAAGCAGGCCAATTTCTATTCCTTTTCAACTTTACATGGAAATGTTTGCAGAGGGTGGAGACACCATGAATAATTCACTTTTTTTTTCTTCAGTTCTCAATTTAATCTATACAGGCGCATAATTATCTTGATATTCCTTCAGAAGCCCAATTTGCAGAACGGTTAGAGATGAAATTTTGCTTCTTTAAAAATGCAATGAATATGCATAGCTAACGTGGAAAAACTGGGACAATGGCTGAGACCTTATCTATCTGCTAAAAGTCTAAAAAAAGAGAGAGAGAGAGAGAGAGAGAGAGAGAGAGAGAGAGAGAGAGAGAGAGAGAAATTGGCACTGTTAAGTAAGTCTGTGCGTGCTAAAAATGGTTTCCGAAGTCCTTCAAAGGCATGTGCTTTATCACAATGAAGTAGATCCGTACCACTGACTGAATTAAATCCTACAGCCGTTGACAAAACGCAGGATTAAAATGGAAGTTTGGCTGAGAGGAGCTTTTAAATTCATAGTGACTTATGACGTGGTGTGCTGTACTGGGGAGAGCCGTGCCTTGTTATTTGCTCCGTAGAAATGTGCTGTGTTGGAAAATAATCCACAGCATTACTAAGGAGTATTTGTTGCTATGGTGTAAACCCTTCCTCTCATTCATAACAAAATAACTGTAAATGCAGGAGCTACGATTCTGGTACGATATGCAGCACCGTGTATTTTCTCAGGGAGCACAAAACTGGAACAAAGCAGCATCCATGGATAGATAGACGTATAGATATGCACATGACTAAACTGATTTATAGATGCTGGGAGAGCACCAAATGCAGCAGAAAGAGACGAGAGAAGTTCTGCATTACAGACACAAAGTTGCTGATGCACATAATGTTATACAACATTCCTGGTGAGTGGTCTTACACCATAGATCTAATGTGGAAAGAGCAGGAGGTTCCTGCAACAGTAATTGGTGTGGACAAGAGTGCTGGTGTAAGGAAGGCTGACGGGACCTTAAATGATTCATGGTGTCGGGTTGGATATCTTTGAACGTTGAACCTAAGACCTACAGAACAGGCGAGGACACGGCTACATCCCAACTCAGAGCAGGGAAGAAAAATTACCTCCATGCTGCCTTTGTTATCGCGTTGTATAATGCAATCACTAAGGATCTAACAACTCAAGGCAGTGCTGTGTCTAACACTGTGATCATGTTTTTAAATTTTGAACTGATTTTTACTGATTTATTTTGTTAAATGCATCCTACTGATTCTCCTTTTCTGTATCCAAATCTCTCTCCTCCTGCCCCTTCTTCTGCTCTTTTTTTTAAGTGGCAGAGCCCATGGTGCCTTTGTTGAGGCCATGGTGGATGGAGATGGACCTTATAGTGCTTGGAACAGTGGGCTGTGCCTCAGTTGTCTTCCTCCTCTCAGCCATCATCATCTGCTACAAGGCCATCAAGAGGTTGGATTATCTGTCTCTCTCTTTTTTTGTTCTGTTCTTGTAGTGCTTCAGTTAGCTCTCGCCTGCACGTGTCTCTGAAATGTTTTCAAGTGATGACATGTTGAAATAGGAACTGTCACAGGCAGGCCACTCAACATATCATGTGTAATTTGACCCAGGGGAGACTGTACTATGTCTCATGTCTCTGTTTGTGAGGCTACGATGACCCTGTCATCACCCTGCTGGGTCAGTCTGAGGTCAGAGGTTAGATCATGGAATGGGTTGTAAATGTCACGGAGAAAGATCCACTACACTTAGTCACCAGAAACATCCTATAAATTCATTTATCGAGATGCACTAAGACCTGACTTTACAACACTGTGTTGATTTTAATTTGCATAAGTGTCTAAAGCTTCCTAGAATGGCAGCTGGATTCATGAAAGTGAAAGCATGAGGCGAGCAGAGGATTCCCAAGATGCCGCTGTTGCAGCGGGAACTGTTTCCCCCATTTGGCTTATTAGAGAAAAAGGCTGCGTGAGGTTTTAGCCTGCAGCACAACCCAGACCCAATTCTCTGTGTGACATTCAGGCAGCACGGTGTCACACATGCACTCTGACATCCACGTTAATGTTCGCAGACATTTAACAAACACACACACATCGTGCAAAGCCCTGCATATTCTCAGGGAGGCATGCGGAGGATACTTGAGTGTGCACCCATCCATTAAGTCACAACATCTTTACATACGTAGATACATCATCTTGGCATATTTACACACTCTATAAAATATGGCGTAAACATTGACTCTCACACACCCATGTGAGAACAGCCACAGATGTGTGTGCTAAATCAGGGAGCTACTTCTATGTTTTATTTATGTGTATTTAAATTGATTTAGTATCATAGCTCATTGCATTTATGGAATTATATTAAGCCTGCATGCCAGATATGGCTTTCCTCAGCAGAACTCTATTTCTCCTTTCTTTAAACAACAAATAGGCAAAGTCAGGCAGTGGAAGTAATAGGTGGTTGGCTCAGGAATTCATTATGGCAATTCTCCAGCCCCTTGTGTAGCCAAGGGGCACCTTTTTTAATGCAGCAGTGGTAGGAAAGTGTTGTTGCAATACGGGCTCTAGCCCCAAACCCAAGTCATTATTTATGAATTAATTTGCGCAGTCATTCAGTCGCAGGCCACATCTTTTATACATGCAAGCGGGTCGTGTCCTGAAGCTCTGTGGGCTCTAGACTGCAGACTTTGTGCCACGCCAAGCTGCCCTCCACTCTGAATGAGGAGGGAAAAAGCACAGAGGTCCAGCCAGACTGGCCTCATTAGACATTCATTAGTCACCAGCCAATAGGAGAGCTGTCCAGGGAGAAAATGTGATTCCTTTAACGTTTATCACAGATGCTCTAATCATCTATCGTTTTCCAGAGGAAACAACACAGTGAAAAGGACAGAAAAAATGTTGTCTACGAAAGCAAGCAAAGGCAGTAATTGAGCGTCTCAGTCAATAACAATGAGAGAGAGAGGGTTTGTCAGTGAGAATAACACAGCCAGTTATATATAGCCCTTCCAGCCCCTCAGTGCTCCGGGCTTTCCCAATGAAAATCAGCTGGCCGAGGGCCAAGGCCTGAGCACCACAGACAGCAGAGGAGCTAGCTCTGCGGGTCCCAGCCCTCCTGGCCTTTTGTTATTTTTTATAATCTTTGTCTGCCAGTCATGTGTCAGAAGCAAAGGGGCTGGAAAGGAAAAACACTTCCATACAATTCTATTCAGAGTCCACAGCACCAGGGAGGCTGGTGTGTGCAAGCATAGAGAAGAGGATTCAGACACACGCTGCGTTTTAGTGTTGCTGTGCCATCCAAAGCAAAAGACATGATGCTGCAGTCCAGGCTGTCAGCCATCCAAGAAGCCAAAACAAACAAAACTCAAACCAACTGATTAATGAAGCTAGATGCTTTTCCCAATCACTTACCGCTCTGGGAGGCTTGTCCAAAGACAGATAATACATCACAGCTGCTCCTGTCCAAGGGCAATACAGTATATCCAAAACACTCCACCAGAGATACAATAGAAGGAAAATACTTGTCAGGCAAAATGCTTTCAAATCCAGTATTTACTAATACATTTTTAATCTCCTCTGTTTTATTTTAGAATATTACCATACAGGCACCATCAAAACCGGTGACAGATTTTCACAGTCTGTTTTTTAATGCGTTTTCTTTGAACCATAGCATGTTACTCTAATTTCCAGATGGCTGGAGTAATTGTAAACAGCTCAACACATGTCCCAATTTCGCCATGATCCATTCCCCAAACTTCAAACAGGAATGTGCGCTGTGATTGCACAGCTTTGATATGAAATATTCATCTAACCTGTGAAGTGTTGTGTTGCCACCTGCCATGTGTCAACAGCATGGCATCTATTATTGAAGGCCTGGGTAGAGGTCGGTTTGAGGCCCCAGTGCTTTGCCCTGTGTGGCGGCCCGAAGCGACACGGTCAGTCTGTGCAAAGATTACATCCTGGGAGAAATAAACAGGGCCGAGGCACCATCCAGCAGGCAATAGATCACCACTGTCAGACGCGATTTTACAGCATAAATGAAATACTGACCTGTCAAAAATATTCCAGATTAAAATTATCGGTGAGCTGCAAGGAAGTTGCATAACGCTAAACGAATATCGACCCCGCCAACTTTTTATTCCAAGGAGAAGAATCTCCAGACTGGCTGTAAACACTGCTGTCTGTCCCTCAGAGAAAACTTTGGTATATCCCAACTCCCCTAGCTGCGGCTGCATCAGCCAATTGTCTCCCCCGCGGCACAATGTGTTTCCACCCTGGGGCTGGACAGTTTCTATTCTGAGGCTTTCCCCAGGTTCCACGGGGACACAGCAAGCAGCATCTGTCCTACATGGCCAGCATGTATCCCTAGTGTCCTAAGCCATACGACCCCTCCCAGCTGACAGAGTCCCACAGGAAGTCTTAGTCATCGCTTACGCTTTGTTTACAACTTTGCTCAGGAGCCATTAGCTCACATCACCTCCAACAACCCCGGCAACTGCAGATTGAATGCGGTGTGCGACATTTCAGGCAACAGTAATTCAAAATGATCATATATAACACTCCAATCATTAACACAAATGTATCATAATTAATCCGAGACTATAAAATGGCAGAGAAAGCTCAATATACAGTGTTAAAGGGACAGTTCATTCCAAATCAAAAATACACATTTTCCATCTTACTTGTGGTGCTATTTACAAATCAAGATTGTTTTGAGTTCCCGAGTGTTGGGGGGTATTGGCCATAAAGATGTCTGCCTTCCCTCCAGTGTAAAACTAGATGGCACTCAGCTTGTGGTGCCCAAAGCACCCTCCAAAAAACTCAACAGCAGTGTCTCTTTTCAGAAATCATGACCCGGTTACTCAAGATAATCTGCAGACCTTGTTGTGAGAAGTTTCATGTAAGAGCTATATTCTTTCTACTTAAGCACACCCTCAAACCGTATTATGGTGCAGAAGGAAGCGTGCCTCTACTGCAGGTCCTCAGGAAGTATGCCAGGCTTTGAAGCCATTTTTTTTAATCCAACGTCTGAGTCCTTCATGTGATGCCATTCAGCCAAAAATGACTTTTCCCCGCAGACTTACATTGTGAAAGAGACGTCTGTAAATCAGTGGATACATTTTTTGAGTGCCACAATCCTGACAAAATGACTTGTTGGCTATCAGAATTTGATTTATTGGGTCCAATAACATTTGGAAAAGCCAGAGGAGCTGCACGAATAAATCATCTTATCCCCATTTAAGTTGGCGGACTAATCTCTAGTGGGTCTCTAGTGTGCCTGCTCTATGGGCCTAATAATGCAGAAGCAGTGACAATCATCTGGTTAATTTTATGTGTGACGTTTTTGGCTTCATGCACCACTGAGTAACTTTCATCGGATTGAACAGGGTTCAGCCTCCAACGCTGTATCCTGTTCTCTCTATACATCCATTATGTACTGCTAGCTCACCTAGCACCACTGAGCCAGCTAACATTAGAGCTGAGCCAAGAAGGAGGACATTAATGTTTACTAATTACATCCTGTGCTGTCACAAGCATGAGCCCCTCGTCCATAAGTAGATGCACGCTTCCCTTTGCACCATTATATGGTTGCCAGGTGTAGTAAGGTAAAGAGAAAATAGTTCCTACATGAAATTGCTCACAAGGTCTGTGGATTATCTTGAGTATCCGAGTTGTGATTTTTGGGGAGAGACATTGCTGCTTAGTATTTTTTTCTTTGGCGCTTTGAGCACCACAAGCTGAGTGCCATCTAGTTTAATTATTTTTGAGAGAAGGCAGATGTCTCTATGGCTGATATCTTCAACATTCAGTAGCTCACACCGAAACAATCTAGACTGACAAAACGCACTACAGGTAAAAGGAGAAAATATGTATTTTTGATTTTGGGATGAACTGTCCCTTCAGTTAAAAGTAAAACATAGTTAGTATTATGTATATGACTTTTATTTTTGTTGATCCATTTATAAGAAGTCTATAGCTCTGTGAGGCTGTAGCTACTCAGACACAGCCATGCTTGTAGCTAAATGCTAACATTCTCACACTGACAATGCTAAATCTGATGCTAAGCAGGTGTAATGTTCACCATGATCCCCATCTCAGTTTGGTGTGTTAGCCATCTAACATTTACTAATCAGCACTAAACACATCAACTACAGCCAAGGCTGATGGGAGAGTCATTAATTTTGCATTGGTCTTAAAGTTAGTGCAATTTACGTTGAGGGCAACTGAATGTCTACACCAAATTTTGTGGCATTCTGTCCAGTAATTATTGAGATATATCATTAAAGACAACAAATTCCAAACAAATGTTGATACTAGAGACAAAGTGAGGGGATCACCAAACTTAGCAGGATTCATCCTCCAGGGAACATGAATGTCTGCAAGATTTCATGACAATCCCTCCATCAGTTGTTGATAAATTTCAGTTTGGACCAAAGTGGTGGACTGCAGAGTGAAATTGCCATCACTAGAATCATGTTAGCTGAAAATGAAAGAGCATGCAAACTGAGAGTGTTTATTGTTTAAACCCCATTGTGGTTTTTATTTTATTTTTTACGGAGAAACTCTTTAAAGACTGGCAAAGCATGACTTTGTTGACAGATGAAAGTGTCTCAAGGAGGTGGAGGGGCGGAGGTGGTTCAAGGCGCTGAAATGACAGCTGAAAAACAGCCAAGACAGGAACAGTTTTAAAAGCTGACAGCAACAAGATGGTTGATTAACAGGTGTGGCAAAATGAGTTTGGCCAAAGTGTATGGGAGCAACGAAAAAGGGACAGCAGACAAATTGAGTCGACAGCAGGGAGAAAATGACCAATATGAGCATGTGCAGGAAAACTCCACATCCTAATTTGACATTTACCAGACTACCCATCATATTATATCCTAGAGAAATGTCGCAAAAACACATTTTACATGACAGAAATTGGAAGACATTACATCAGCTGTCCATTTTTATTTTACAGCCTCAGTGTAAGACAGTGTGTAAATACATGAGATATAATGCAATCCAGTGTGAGAGGCATATAATAAATGCTACAGTTTTAAAGCTTGCAGTGTATGCATGGTGCATTTTTTGCTGAAATCTAAAGGTGTTAATTTAACTCAATGGTAGGGCTTTGAGTTCATAGACATAATGACAGAAAGAATATAATGAAATATTGTATGACAACAGCACAAAATGCTTTGTAGCTTTGCTATTTTTTAACCTGGACCCTATTTTGTCATGTTTTTGTGTCTAAATGGGAACAACAATTTTTGAAATTGGTCCAGTATTGAGCGACAGGGCTGCGTCAGGGCTGCAGCCAGCAGCGGAGAAACAGGTTATGTACATCCAGTAAAAGTGCTTGTTTTTGCCACTTACCGACTCAAATTGTTATACTAAGTGTCTTACAATATCGTGGAATGGATTTCCTACAGAGATAGACCTGTTTGTTAAAGAGAAGGATCCTTTTTTTTTTAAAAAAAAAACAAGGCACAGCCCTGAAACACCTCTGCCTATCAATGTAAAATCCACTTCATTCAGAGTCAACAGTAACAAAATAAAAGTCACAAAAGCTACCTTAGTTCATCCCTCCACTCTCCGAACAATAACCAACTCTGGTTTGGTTGAAATAAATCCTTAACTCACCCAGTTAGATGTGAAATATGCTTACTGTATACACACTTAAATTACTAGTTATTTAAATGGAGTCTGGTGGGTTTGGTGAAGGTGATTTAGGGGCTGTTTCTGGTTAAACAAAAAGGATCCTACCCTTTAACAAAAAGGTCTATCTCTGTAGATCCTTTCCATGATGTTGTCAGACACTTCTAATGACAATCTGAGCCTGTCAGTGGCAAAACGAGCACTTTGGATGGTGCACAAATGCCCCAAATGGTTACATGGCAGCTTCTTTCAGTGTCTTGCTCAATATGGGGCCAGTTTCAAAAAATGTTGTCTTCATTAGTAAATTTGGCACAAAAAAGTGACAAAATAGGGGTCCAGGTTGAAAAGTAGGTTAGCCGTTAAAGCTAGTCTATATTTTTGCTGAACTTTCGCCATTTCTGTCACAAGTGGCAATCATGGTGTTATGGCATATGCTAAAATGCAGTGCACAGAAGCACAAGTAAAAAGGAGTCCTAAAGTCAGTTAACTAACTCAGTAATTGTCACTTGCACAGCAACATCTATCCAAAGTCAGCTAAGACCAGCAGTCATACCAGGACAGAAAAGGCTGTAGCAGCTAAACCTCTGAGTATACTGATTTGCGTAACAGTGCTTTGTATTGTTCATGAATTTAACTTTTCATTTGTGAGAGTAAGATTGTGTTATTTATTCTTTTTTAAAGTTACATATCACTTTAAAAAATAATTATAATGCCCTCATATCTTCATCCTCTCTGACACAGTCTCATCAAAAACTAAACATACCACACTTGACAAACGTAATTTTTCTCGCGGGGCTGTTGTACTGGATTGCATTATGTCATGTATGAGCTCATATTACCCTGTAAGGATTCCCTCGCTGCACAATGCCCCGAGAAGGGAAGAAGATTTGTGCTGGACTGGACTTGGAATGACTGTTCGTCAAAGTCGGACCGGCCAGCCAGGGCTTTCAGAGGAGAGCAGAGAAGACGCTGAGCTAAGATGTCGCTCAAGGGTCCTCTGTGGCAATGAAGGCATAGTACAGTGTTGAGTGGGACAATGACTGTACTAACTGTATTCAGATCCGTCTCTGAGTTACATAAGCCCGAGCAGGGGAGAGCAGCTGAGGGGGTCGGTGCAGAAGCCACAGTACACTGGACAAATATAATAACCACAAAGGCACCAAGGAGTGCATGAAAAGGGCTGCATTGAATGATACTGCTCTTCACAGGCCAGTAGCAGCAAGGGGATCATGTGTTGCAGCTTTACTTTGCACCGCAACGTACTCATAGAAAGGACAGAGTACTACAGCGCAACCAGTGTTGAGAGGAGGTTATGTTGCTATTGATGTTATTCCCAAGTTGTTTTGACAGCCACACACATACTCATTACTTATGGGGAAGATTGCATCTACCAGTCAGAGTAGGTAATTGCCTTATCCCCCGTGTTGCAATGTATCTTTCCCTCCTGTTTCCTTGCAATAGTGACCTTTGAATATTGAACTTATTAGAACGGATCGCTGAGACCAGTGTATGCACCCAGTGCAGCCCGAGAAATCAAATCAGCCGAAAGGTTAACAGTCCAGAAACTCTGTTTAATGACATGGCCTTCAGCTGAGGGCAAATGTAACTCTCTTGTCAAGGAATCCTCACTTTATGAAAATGTCTATTTGCAGGAAACCACTACGAAAAGAGGAGAACGGGACAAGTCGTGGGGAATACGCCATGAGCATCCGTAACAAGAAGGCCATGGGTACGAACAACACTGTGGTATAGACTGTCTCCTGCTAGGCGCAGGAAGTGACATCACCATAACCGTCTGTCACCTTACCTCCCCCCCGAATACAACGATCCCTTCTCACCCAGAATGCAACAGGGTTTTACCCAAGGTTTTCAAATAGGTAAACCTTCCCTCTTTGCTTGGCATGTTGCCCGGACTGAAGACACCATTCAGCTCAAGAGGAGCTGCAAAAGATGGAAGGGAGAGGAAAAAAAAGTCAAACCAGAAAGGACGGAGAGAGAAATCCACAAACCCCCATGGTGTCAAAAGTGGCACAGCAGGCTGAACATTATGCTCTTAGTAACAGCAAGTGTTGCTGACAGGCTGGTTGGCTGCTGGCTGGAGAGGGACTGTCTGCCAGTCTGCTGCAGATCCAGACTTCACACACTGTTGACATCTGCAATGGAACAACAGACAATACAGCATCCCTGCAGTCCCACGGGCGGCCAGACAGGACAAGCCCATCACACACAATAAATAACTTGCATGCAGTTTTTACAGAGAATGCAACATTTTTTTTATAGTCCGATCCCGACACTGTCCATCTTTGGTTCTCCATTTTTTTTTTGAGACAGATGCTTTGTGAGAGGCATGATGTTCCTGTCGGCCCTGGCTCTGAGATGTGGATTCATCTGACTATGCAATTTAAAGAAATCCATATATTAAAAAAAAACAGGAGCAACAACATCAACATGGGACATTCTGGTTATTTTACCATGCCAAAAATGCCACTGAAGACTTAGGCTCAATGTAATATACTCCAGTCATTCATCATTTTATTTGCTCCATTTATTTACTTATCTACTTTTGAATTTATTTTTCTACTTAAAAGAAAAAAAAACTGTCTTGTAAGTTACTCACATCTTTCTCAAACATCTTAATGAATTCATTTTATTTCTTGATAGCTCTGTTTTTTAAAGTGAATAATTTATAAACCATATAATTCATTTGTGATGCTCCGATGCTTTAAGCCTGCTGTCAGTTTGTTGAGACACTGATGCAGAAAACGTGCTTGCTCTGCAAAGAGTTTTGGTATCAGTTGTTTTGTCTCTGGGTGTTTGATATGCTTTTCTCTGTTTCCCCGAGACCTCAGCTAAAAAAAAGTCAGGGGTCTCTATGATGTGCTATGTGAATGTGTGTTTTCCAAACATTATTTCTGTGCTGCATCATATGTCAGTCCCCATTTTTGATTTGTTATCTCAATGCAAGCCCCCCCTCTACAAGTTAAACCTGCTATCACAAGTCGTTTTGTTAAATCTTGTTGTTTCAGTCTTGGGGCCAGCTAGATGCCTTCAGCCATGCTTTGTTTGGATTTGACAATCTTCATTTTTCTGTCTGTCAAGAAGGGCTTAGCCCATCGCTATAGAAACAGGGGACATGAGCCCAGGGCTGACCTTGTGACTGGTGAGAGACAGGAGACTTAGCCAATAGCCAGAGATCAGGTTGCACAGCGGATGGCCTCAGCAGCGATGTGTGTGTGTGTGTGTGTGTGTGTGTGTGTGTGTGTGTGTGTGTGCGTGCGTGCGTGCGTGCGTGCGTGCGTGCGTGCGTGTGTGTGTGACTCAGTGCTGTCACAGGCATCCTCCACATCCCCCCTGGAAAAACACAACTGAGCTGAACTGGAGCATCACTCAACGCTGCTCTGCTTTTATACATTAAATCTGCGTGTGTCTGTGTGTGTGCATGCGTCAGTGTGTGTGTGAGAGTGAGTGTGTGTCTGTCTGTCTGTCTGTGAGTGTGCATGCAGATGAGTGTACTCAGTGAGAGTGGGCTGTACTCTGTGGCTGTCAGTTAAGTATAGATATTGGCTAAACTGTGGAAAAATTGGAAAAACACATGCTTGCATCTAAACATGCAGAGATATTAACTAACAGTATACCCCACCATGTACCTATATGAGAGAAATGATGGATGCATGAATGTAAATATTGATATTTAAATATCTGCCTTCTGGACTGTTAATTAATGTACAGTGTAACAGAACATATGTTTATACATAGTAAAACTTAAACAATGTGCTACCATTTAGAATTATGTCAATGTTGTCATGTTGATGGAGCAAGCCATTAATGTATATATGGCAATCAATAGTACACACACAATTTATGCATTATACCAAACAGATAGAAAGATGTGCATAAGTTGATTTCATTGCTGAGTTTTTCAGTTGTAAATAAAACTGTACATAACAACAGAGCTACAGTCTATTGTGTTTAAAAAAAAAAGCTACATGTGCAGATATGACACTGTTGTTATGCTATGGCAGACAACCTGTACCTGTGTGTGGCGAAAGGTGATAAAAGTGCGACTGTTATATTTAGCCTGTGCCCATCCTGTGTGCACTGCGCTGCGCTGTGTTGTGTTGTTCATGTCTTGGGCAGAGAGCTGTGCTGGCCCTGTCTCCTGGGCCCCCCGCAGCGGAGGACATTCTCAGTTCTCAGTCTGTCTCACACAGCGCATCTTTAATGAACTGCGATTACCAAGCGTATTGCTCTCCATGGGGCTTAATGACGCAAACAAGAAAACTTATAGGGTTTGCATATTGTGCTCGCAGTGGGCTCGATTAATAACCATGTGACGAAAAATCACGGATGTGTGCTAAGGATTTCTGCAGCCAAAGCAAGAATGCAAGTTGCTCTAACAAAATTAGGGTTTAATCGGAAGCTAAGAGGAGGTGGTGGATTCACCTCTGCGAAAAAGGCTGCACTCTTACATTAAATCGTATAGACACTTTCCCATTTCTATTTTAATTTGCACATTAGCTGCGGTTAATGATGTGAAACAAACAAGGGGGACAAACCTGTACTATACAGGCTGATGCAGAGGAGCACTGAAGAGGAATGTCAATGAATTATAATGTGAATGAGGGACCATAGAGTACTTTGCCTGCCCTGCTTTAGATGTGCCACTTGATGGTAATGCCAATGGACACTCTGAGCAATTTAAACATTCATGCATTGTCCAGCCAGGGCGCTGTGGATTTCACTGTAATAAAAGCAATGTGACAGCACTAGGCGGGGGGACCAGGGATTGTCACTGTCTCAACAAGCTTTACGAGGCTCTCAGAAGGTATTTCCGTAGAGCAAAGGGGCGCTGATACACAGATTCTTTAAAATGTTGGTTCTTGAAATGGTTTTTATACAGAACTAGGGCTGCAGCCTGTGTGAGACTGGCTCTCAACCTGCTCTTTAATCAAGGAATGTCACCACACACCTGGTGTGTATGTGAGAGAGAGCTTGCAAAGTTCTTTCAAAGCTGACCTTCACAATCTTTGAGGACCCACTCACACCCTCTCTGCCTGAGAGGCCTTTGGTCAGCGTTAATTACCTTCACTACCTCCAGCTGCCTGCTCATCAGGTCAGCGCTCCCATATGGTCCTTCAGGAGGCAGCAGGCAGGCAGGCAGGCAGGCAGGGGCGGGGAAAGTGCTGGATACCTGTGGGACACTGATTACATAAGCTGCCGCTAATGAGAGAGGTTCTTTGGAAAAGGGCTGTGAGTTCAAACGATCACAACGGTGGCAGTGGCTGACAGATGCAACCCCAGAGCAAGGGGGACTTGATTAAACACACACACGCAGACGCACACACCTGTGCACATGCTGGGACACATGCACATACACACCTGCATCCAGCATCACTTTAAAAAACTCACACACACAGAGGTACACAGCAGGAGCGGGGCTCTTTGATGAGCCAAGACTAGAGGTTGATGAGACGGGGCACTGCAGCCTGATTCAGCTAGCTTGGGGTCACCGGGGAGTGTGTATGCATGTGTTTGTCTGTGTTTGTCTGTGTGTGTGTGTGTGTGTATGTGTGTGTGAGAGTGAGTGTGTGTGTTCATTAGTCACATTGTGTGATATCATTACACCAGTGACTCATTTGGCATACACCTCTCAACATGGGTCCTCTTACACATGCAGTGACTAAAAGCAAGTTTATTAAAAAAAATATATGCAAATCAAATTTGACTTATTTTTGTCCAATAAACCAATTTCTTCTTGCGGAACTCATTTATATCATCAGATCTAATTCATCTTAAAGCTTGATAATGAAATCCTTGCAGCAGTGAAGATCAAAACAAAGATTAATGTGCTGTTCGGCTTTCTAGCCCTGCTGTCATGTCATCTGTTATTCTCAGACAAGAGCTTCGTGGTAATGCGGTTAGACCTCACAACAATGCTTAATCACAACAAACCACATTAGGCCAAAGGTAATTGTGTTTGCTTGGTATATGCGTGGGCCAATCTGTTTCGCTGCTGCCAATGAAGAGGGGAATGGAGAAGTATGGGTGGGTGGGGGGGGCTTTCCACTTTGGGGCAGGGAGGGGGGGGCACAACCGAAATAGTCTTGTTTACCTCCAATGTCTGGCTCCACCTTATCGAGTTACAAAGCTACTGCTGCTACTCAGATTGGCCTCTGATCGATCAGAGCTCTGACGGCAAGAGGCAGCATGACTGACAGTCTGACAAGGATCTCAGGCGGGAGCTGAGTAATGCATGTCATGTCATTTTCCTGGACACACCTGAGGTTCAGTTTCTCGTCCGGGGGAGAAAACAACAGAGCTGATTTTATCGCTCTGCCATCTGCATTATGGTAAACTGGACATTTTCCAGATCAGCCAGGACATCAAAGGGCAGTAAATGTCACATTTGAATTTTGAAGGGGTCGGCAATTCATACGAAATGACAAAGTGTTCTGAGCGTTTAGAAAAACTCGCACTTTTATTATCCAGCTTGCAACCAAGCAACTTAAAAAGTGATAGAATATGAATGTAACAGAGTGAGCGTATCTAAGATTCAACAAGCATTTGCTTTCACACCCTCGCTATTACTAACATGGGTCTATAGAAATTCTCTTAGTCATCTACTGACTCTTCAAATCTGTTGAATACAACAGTTAGGCACCTGATACACTTATCCCACACAAGCCTACCAAACCTTTAATAATGAGCTCCAGTTATAGTACTTTAAAATAGCATAGATTTACTGTACATATACAGGTAGTATACTAAAGGTGCTGAAAATGATCCAGTCCAAATGAATCCCTTACAGCATCAGTTCACAGAGGAGTCCTTTTTTTTTGGTCAAAGGGTTCAGCCAGAGAGGATGCATGCAGATCTAAGGACCCAGTCTGGATCCAAGGGGACCACAGAGCAGGTCACATGGGGTAGAACTGTGAGGCAGCCTCAGACGACTGGATCTCCACCTGAGCCATCTTGAATTGGGTGCACTGCAGCCATTTGCGCAGAGCAAACGGAGGGGCTCCGGATGACGGGCCCTGCAAACACTGGTGGTTTACACGGTTCTGGATGGCCTGGAGTCGCAGCTGCAGCCCAGCGGATAGATGCTGGTGAAGGAAGGAAAGGAAGATGGCAACAATTTAGTCTGAAATCACCTGAAGAATCAAAAGCTACTTTATTAATCTTTAAAAGTTTTTTAAAAGCCTTACCTTAAGGTTTGACTGAATCATAGGTAGCCACATAGGGATTAGCTACAGGAAAGAATGATGACGGGTAAGTATTAGATTAGGTGTTAAGGTGACCATATTTTAACAATGTTGAAAAACACTAGAGTTATAGCAAACCTTGACAAAGATGGTTGAGTTGCACTCCTGCAGGGCTTCCATAAGACTAATGACATGAAGGCACACCATCTCCACCATCTGGGAGAAAAAATATCAGCTGTGATTTTCTCTAACATACTTACAGTTTCCTTATCATATTTGAAACAGTCATTAATCCACACCACATTTCCAGGCACCTTATTCCTACCTTAGCCTTTAAGAGTGATATCAGTAATTTTCTGGACTCTATTTTTCCATGTTTTTGTGCCTAAGTGAATAACTGGAACAATGATTTTTATTAATCTGGCCCAGTATTGAGTGAGACTGATGCAGCATACAGCAGCGAAACAGGCTGCACTGTAATGATTGCATAATTAATTGGCAATTGTTCACCATCAATGTACGTCCACTAATAGTGCTTGTTTGTCACTGACAGTATTATGGAAATGATCCCTACTTAGACGACCTATGTTTAAGAGTAAGATCCCTTGTGTTTAACCAGAAACAGCTCTACAGGTATTTTATCATCATAAAACACACTTTATTTAAAGTCGACAGAAACAAATTAAAAGCCACTAAACCTGTCTTGGTTCATCCCTACACTGTTTCAACATTCACCTACTCTGGTTTGGTTGATACAAACCCTTAATTCACCCTGTTAGATGTGAAAATATGCCGCTCTATACACATTAAAATTACTTCTTATCTAAATGGAGTCTGGTGGGTTTGTCAATGGCAATTTCAGGTTAAAAAGGATCTTACTCCTCAACAAAAAGCTCTGTCTCTGCAGAGTTTCCTTTCCATAATGGTTTTAGACACTTATAATAACAACCTGAGCCTGTCAGTGGCTATAACAAGCACTGAAGTGGACATAAATTGACGGTGCACAGATGGCCCCAGTGGTCACATTGTAGCCTGATTTGTTGCTGCTGGCTGCAGCACTCTTGCGCCAATTCTAAAAACTGTTGTCTCCATTAGTCTCTTTAGACACAAAAACACCAGAAAAGAGGGTCCAGGCTGAAAAATACCAGAGTTGCCTGCCTTAAAATAATCAGCAGAGCACTCACCACCTTATTGTGGGCCATGAGCTGCAGGATGCTGGGTGTAACCCGACTCCAGAACTCCAGGCCAGTGAGGATGGCACTGGAGGAAAACTCTGTCTGGTTCTGGTTCTGCAGGGACGGAGCAGCGGCTGCCTGCTCACAGTAGATGGTCCACAACTGGGCGAACATGAAGGCGTGGAACAGAGAGCACATGTGCAGCACCGACGTCTGGGGGCAGAGATCGAGAGCAAAACAGAGAAGGCCGGTGAGATGGTTATAGATCATTTAATCAAATCCTGGGTGGGGTCATTTACAGGGATTCACTTCTGCCAGACCTTTGACTGTTCTGGGAAACCAATAAGGATGACTATAAGATGATCTGCGATGTGGGAGCCGGCATCTAGAGGGATGGGCATACAGGAGGTGGAGCCCTGGTGCAGGGCACAGTGTGTCAGGGAGCCCAAAAGGAGCCAGGAGAGCTGACGGATGTGGGACACACACTCGATGAATTCTTTTGGTCTGCAGGGAAAAAACATTGCAGTTTAGTTTCACAAATCTGCCCACAGTAAATTCTATACAATCTGATTCTC